CAGTCCTTAGGGTCACCGCATACTCTCACCTCCTTCCTAACTCTAACCCTTCCACCTCAGGGCGGTTGTGCAACCCCTGTGTCTACATTCTGCAAAGAGGGCGACCAATGGAGGGCAACAGGGCAGGGCTGAGTCCCTCACAGCTGAATTTAATTGCCCAGTGTCAGGAGCCATCGCGGGAAAGGCTAACTGTTGGACTTTACGTGCATTGTATTGTGTGCTATTCTCTTTACTTTGAATGAGAGTGGAGGGCGGGGAGCTGGGGCGGCACAGTCATTTCTAGTCTAGAGCTTCTTACTGCTGAGCCGCCCCGCGTACCCGTGCTGGCCAGCGAGTGGGTTGCTCTCCGATTCCTTCCCGCACACGTAGAAAGTCGGGACCCAGCCGGCGGCGTCGGCGGCTGGAGCCCCTTCCCCCTCGGGCTGCCCAGGGGAGCCCCGTCACAGCCGCAGCAAACATCTAAGGTGTAATTTCTAGACGCCGCCCGGATCCTGTGGCCGACTTCACTCTTAGTGCGCGGGAGGGGGAGGCTCGGCCACCCCTCCGCGAAGCCGTGAGTGGGCGAGTCCGGAGCTGCTGAGCAACTGCCGTGGCTTCCGGTTCCGTTGACAGCTGCACCGGAAACCAGAGACGCGGCTGCAGGTCCAGGTGAGATCCCGCCGGCCTCCCGGCGGGGAGGTGCGGCTCAAGGGCGTGGCGCGGTTGGCGGCTGCTCCGCCAGGCTCCCAGGCCCCGCATCGTCTTCCAAGCTTCGGGACTAAGCGCCCTTCTCCAGTCCTCCCTCGGGTTTGTTTTTTCCGCAGACCTCGGCCCGGGCAAGGAGTTGGACCCTTGCATTCTCAGAAATTTGTGGAGCCGGCCCTACTGGGGAAGTCGCTCGAACCGACACGTCCCATCCAATTGCGACCCGGCCGAGTTGTAGGTAACCCGTCCTAGGGAGACCTGGGAGAAGTGTTCTAGGCAGTGGGAAAAACCCTGAGGTTGAAATAAGCTGATGTTCGAGAAACAGAAAACTAGTGTGATTGGAATATGGCCATTGAGAGGGACAGTGGTAGGAGATGAGGTTGGAAAGGTGGTTTGGAGTCACATAGAACCTTGTAGACCATAAAAACAAGGGTGGTTTTTAAGTACGTATAAATCTATTGTTTTTTTTTTTTTTAATTCTTTATCTTTTTGTTGTTGAGCTGGGTCTTTGTTGCTGCTCATGGGCTTCCTCTAGCTGGAGCAAGCAGGGGCTACTTTTCATTGTGGTGCACAGGTTTCTCATTGCAAAGGCTTCTCTTGCTGTAGAGCCTGAGCTCTAGGCATGCAGGCTTCGTTAGTTGGGACACACAGACTCAGTTGTGGCACATGGGCTTTAGTTGCTCCACAGCATATGGAATCTTCCCAGATCAGGGATTGAACCCTGCATTGGCAGGCAGATTCTAATCCACTGTACCCCCAGGAAAGTCCGCTCTATTGGGTTTTAAGCAGAGGAGTGATGTATAAGGTAAAGAATGGATAGAGGTGGGGGGTGTAAAAGGTTAAGTGTTGGGCCAGTGGAGGCTGTTCAGTTCTGCGTCAAGCGAAGGGGACTTTCTGTGATTTGCACAAACTTCTCCCCTTACCTGCTCACCCTAGAAGGTGCCCCTCTTGTGTTGGGATACTGAAGACTGAGGACAAGACCCCTGTGCACACGCCTTGGTGGGGATTTCATTATTTCACTCATGTCTCTTCCTGCCCAACCAGGACAAGTTTGAGTTCCAGTCCCCTAATTAGGAAGTGCATGTACCCAGTGTGGACCAGGCCATAGGCCTGGGGAGAGAAGATGAGATTGGACTCCAGCCCTGAGCAGCTCACAGTCTAGTGTGGGGAGACAGATGTGTGAATGGGCAGTTTCTGTGCTGAAGTGCTGAGAACTCACATGTCTGTGGTATGGGGTGCCCTTGATAGAGGTTTGGTTTGTGAAGCGGGGGAGGAGGCAGGGAGATTTCATTGAGGGCTTTATGGGGGAGCTGACGATTAAATGTCATTTTGTGTTCTCTTCCAGAGAATACTCTAGACATAGGAAGAGTGGCACTCTAGACGTAGGAACAGCTCATGCAAAGGAAGTGAATGAATGTACAATTGTAAAGGGCTTCTGTGTCAAACAATGGCAGTGATGAGTAAAGGGGTGACAGGATCTGATGTTTTGGGGTAAACACCCCGGTAGATAATTTCTGTCCATGTGAGACCTTGGGGAGGAGGGCTTAGGACAATGGAAGTGAAATTCCCTGGATTAATTCTGAAGACAGACTCCCACTCATCCATCCTTGTGCCTGGTGAAGATGACCGACTGTGATTAAGACAGAGTGGCTTACCCTGGACACACTGCATTGGCCTCTTGGGCTTTTCAGATGGAATCACTCCAGGCAGTTCTATTTTCCCATCTCGTTCATTAAAAAAAATTTTATTGAGGTAATCACACTTGTCAGTTCATGGTACATTTAACTGGTCCACACAGGCCATTTTTCTCCTTGGCATTTGTTTGCATATTTCCGTTTTATCCCTATTCCTCCCTCCATTCCCTTCACCTCCGCCCTGACTGCAGAAAGCCACTCTCTTATGTGTTTGATACATATCCTTTTATTTGCGTGTGTCCTTGGTTATATACCTATATTTTAAAAGTGCGTAATGGTATTCTGCCTGGACTTAATTTTGTTTCTTTTTTCCCTTCAGTACCATGTTTTGGGATCTTACTGATGTTGCTGTGGTTTCTCAGTGCTACCCCAGGTTCCACAGATGCATCTCCCGGATTTTACTTCCTAGACTTACAACTTCCTCTAGGCTCCTGAGCTGCCTCAAGCTCCCTGCCACAACACACAGCCCTGGGATAAAAATTCTATCTCCTTCCTTGGCTTTTTAATTCAGTTTCAAGTTGCTGACTTGGACTTCCCTTTAATAATCCTGGTATTAGTTGATGTCTGACAGGGTCAAACTCTTTGATGTTGGTGAGGACCTAACCTTTCTTGAGCTGTGTTTATTTTTGGTAAATTGTGATTCTGGTTCCCAGACACTTTTGGCAAATACTCTTTTGTACTGTACTGTCTTTCGTAGTTGATCATCTCATAGGCTGTAAGGTTACTTTCCGGTTTCTTGTCATCATGAATCATTGCTGTATACTCATTCCAACCACAAATATTGGCTGATTTCCTTTCCTGGTGAGATGGTGGCCTGTTAAGCTGGTCCAGAGAGGACTGTGATGCAGAATGCTTCAGAGAGGGGCTCTGGAGCCAGACTGCCTAGCTTTAGTTTGAGATCCTCTACTTTGCAGCTATGTGACCTTGAGCAGTTTATTTAATCTGAATTTCATTTTGTGTTCTGTAAAGTGGGTCTCATAATTGTACCTGCCTCATAGTGCAATTGTAAGAATTAAGTAAATTAATTAATGCCAAGTCATTAGAATAGTTCCTATCATATAATAAGCCCCTATGAAATATTAATAGTAATAATTATAGTATATTATTTCCAACAGGTATCCCTCTATATTTCGCTTGTAATGGTTCATATCTAGTTATAGGGTATTTCTTCAGGGAGCATGAAAAGAGGGGCACGTTTTCTAGACACGATGATGAACAAATTCTAGTGTGATAGTGTAAACCATAAGAAGGGAGGACATGAATACATCTCAAGGCCCTGTGTACCGTTTCTCCATCACTCATCACCTGTTTGATAAGGTGACATTGGCTGCAGGTTGGGCTGAGATGATGGGGCCAAACTAACAGTGCTGGTGGGAATGGGAAGAGAGTCTGGTAAAAACTGGGAGAATCCCAATGGTCACTTTGGACACAGAACTCTCTTTGTGGTATTACTCTGTACCCTTTGAGAGAGAGAACAACTGGCTAGATTTGATCATTTGAGAGGTGCATTGGACAGAACCCTGTCACTTTTTTGGGGGGAGGGCTTCCCTGGTGGCTCAGACAGTAAAGGATCCGTCTGCAACGTGGGAGACCTGGGTTCAATCCCTGGGTTGGGAAGATCCCCTGGAAAAGGGAACGGCTACCCACTCCAGTATTCTGGCCTGGAGAATTCCATGGACAGAGGGGCCTGGCAGGCTGCAGTCCATGGGGTCGCAAAGAGTTGGACACAACTGAATGACTTTCACTTTAAATCCTGTAGATGAAGGGATGAGCAGTGAAATCAACTCTGTCACTAACATTTTAAGGATTGTCTATGTGTTCAGTGTCACAGGCTGCTCTGAAACGGAAGGGAGCGGTGGCCCAGTGTTGAAGGGATTTAGCAGTGGGACCTCAGTGGTAGGAAAGGTAGGACAAGAAAAGCCAACTCTCTTTCAATGGTGTAATGAGAAGGAAAGTTGTGTTACAATAAGAGATTTTCTAGTCTAGTGGGGGAGGCAGGCCCTCAAACAGATCATTACCCAGTGATCAAAACTGAAATAGAAGGGTGCCAAGTGAGAGTGGAGGGAGCCAGGTGGGAGCGGCCTAGGGGTAGCTACAGAAGATGACCTCTGATGGGCCATCTTCTCCAGCAGTTGAGGAGGTGAAGGGTGATAGAGACCATACCAAGGCATGGAGCTGTGATGGAGTATAGATAGTATTGCCTACTGAGGGCTTTGCAAGGCCTGCTCTCCATTTTGGTTAAAAAAAGAGATGAAGGGAATCCCCCGCTGGTACAGAGGTTAAGACTTCATGATTCCACTACAGGGGTCACAGGTTCGATCCCTGGTCAGGGAACTAAGATCCCTGCATGCTGGGATCAGCCAAAAAAAGGAAGAGAGATGAATGAAGATTCTAATGAAGAGCTGAAAACAATGAAAACAGGGGTAATTTTATTACCATGATCCAGAAAACCCCTGTCCTCGTGTCTCCCTGCACCCTCCCACGGGCACCCTGGCTGGGGGTTATGGAAGCTGTGTACATATATGTTAGGCTAGGGATTTCTGAGCATTGACATGTGATATGGGCATGGTGGGGTGGGGTCTGGAAGCCCTCTTCACTGCCCCTCTGACCCAGGTGGCGGCCATGGAGCAGTGTGCAAGCGTGGAGAGAGAGGTGGACAGGGTCCTGCAGAGGTTCCTGACCTACGGGCAGCGCTGTGAGCAGAGCCTGGAGGAGCTACTGCACCACGTGGGCCAGCTGCGGGCCGAGCTGGCCAGCACAGGTGGGTGTCCCCTCACGGGAGTCCCACGTCTGCCTCCCAGGGGCCCCGGAGGCCCCAAGGCTGCTTGATGACAGAGTTCTGGAAGGATGGTGGTTAGGGCATGGATAACATGGGTCCTTAGGCCTCTTCAGCAGGGGACAATGGAAGTCTCTGAGCTATTTCAGAAAACCCAACAGAAATTGTTAATTTACTGAGATCATTTACGTTTAATTTTCGATTTGCTTTTCTATTTTGAATGTTTAAGACATTTTAAGATGATTTCAATTTTACGGAAAAGTTCTAAGAACAGTATAAAGAGCTCATATATACCCCTTTACCTAGATTCACCAACTGCTAATATGTTGCCGTATTTGTTTTATCAGTTTTCTCACATATTCTTATTACTTTTTAAACCACTAGAAAGTAAGCTGCAATATTATACAGCTAAGTATGACCTAAAGGTCAAGGGCATACTTTTACATAAGTTCAGTGTAATTATTCAAATCAAGAAGTTAAACAAGCCACTGACTACTTTCTGGGAGGCAGGAGTCTGCCAGTTGATAGTAATGGCAGGTGAGGAAATTAATGAGGACTATCCAGTAGAAATTCATGAATATTTATCAACCTTTGAGAACTCAATTGGTGGTGTGGATGAGATGCTGAAGACCAAGATGTCTGTTTCTAGAAATGAGATGTTGCAGAAGTTGAACCCACTGGAACAGGTAAAGTGGATTTAGTCTCTGGCTTACATATTAAATTCAGTGTTTGGGGTTTATTTGGCAACTTGTGGAGTCAGTCCTAAGGAACATCCAGTAAAGCAGGAATTTGAGAGAATCAGAGTGTACATGAACAGAGTCAAAGAAATAACAGGCAAGAAAAAGACTAGCAAGTTGGACAGCGGTGCAGCTTTGAGATTTGTAAAAAAAATACCCTCTGGGATCCAAAACCTAATAATGCATCCAAAGTTGCCAATAAAGGAAAAAGTAAAAATTAACCTTTCGGTTTTGACATACACTTATTAAAAAGTACATAATTTTTATTGTTTTCCACAAAATAGATGATGATTATGTGGTATTGTAAGGTTAAAATGTATCCTTTATTGAATTCATGTATAAAACTTGCATTTTAAATGTGTAATGCTGAATACTTTTTTCCTCAGTAAGATTGCTGCCTTTATTGATTTTCTTATAGAACACTATGAGGTTTTTAACATTGTGGTATATATATTTTTTGAACTTTTTATTTTGTATTGGGATATAGCTGATTAACAGTGTTTAGATGGTTTCCTGTGAGCAGTGAAGGGGCTCAGCCATACATGTGCATGTATCCCGTTCTCCCCAGGGCTCCCCTCCCATCCAGGCTGCCACATGGTACTGAGCAGAGTTCCACGTGCTATACCGTAGGTTCTTGTTGGTTATGCTTTTTAAATATAGCAATGTATACACGTGTACCCCAAACAACATTGTGGTATATTTTGTATTTATAGTTTACTGTCTCTTGATCAGACTTATTTTATTAGGTCACTCTTTCAAGTGTCATTTTATAAGCAATTATGAAATTTAAGTTAAATGTTCTTTGTAAACATTTGTCTATTTTTGATGAATAATGATTTTATGAAGTATGCTGAAGTTATAAATACATCTGTTTTCACTATATAGTATTAAGAAAGAATGAAATGACTTAAATGTCCATTTTTTTCTGTGCAGTTATTTCATTGTGCTTTCATGATTTGAGGAATTAATGCTTTTTGTGATATTTGAAGTATGAAAAGCAGGAATTGGAGAGAATCAGAGTGTACATGAACTTTAAGGTTATTCTTCAAGTCACGGCAGTTTGCCACTTGTTCATCACTCAGTCATGTTTGACTCTGCGACAACATGGACTGTGGCCCACCAGGCTCCTCTGTCCATGGAATTTTCCAGGCAAGATTACTGGAGTGGGTTGCCATTTCCTTCTCCAACTTTGCCACTGTGTCCCATTTAAAATAAAATATATTCTTGTTAAATTTAAATGGGAAATGAGGTTGTACATTGATGGCTGAATTTGACATAATGGCTATACCCTATCAGTAAAGCTGTAAATGTGTGGGATATGTTTTTTATTTTTCTCTTTTGAGTAAAATTTCCCTTGAAATTAGGAAGGTAGGTTTCAGAAATCCTTAGAAATGGAGGAATTCATGAGTTTTTGGTCCTTATGTGTCATGCCCATTATTCTTTTGGCCTTACTTCTTCAGATTTCTTTTTATTTGTTTCTGAGGCTACAGCAAGTATGTACAATTATTTTGGAACAACTTTGTATGTTATATAATGCCACCACTTAAGCAGAGGAGAAATCCAAAAGAGAGTACATTGTGTTTATATTCTGATTTATTGTCCCGCAATATTTGTTACAGAGTATTCTAAGTATTAAAACTTTTTAAATATCTAACTAAGCCCATGAATTTTAATTATATACTATTAATGCTTTCAGTTTTTTTTCTTTTTTTTAAAATTTATTTATTTGGCTGCACTGGGTCTTAGTTTCAGCTTGTAGGACCTTTTTAGTTGTGGCATGTGGAATCTGGTTCCCGGACCAGGGATCAAACCTACACTCCCTGCATTAGGAGCGCAGAGTCTTAGCCACTGGACCACTAGGGTAGTCCCAATGCTTTCAGTCTTTGAGTTCACATCATTATGTATAGGAATGCCAAGTGCAGTAAAGTACTTTAATTTTTGAAAAAGAAGTGTTAAATTTTTCCATGTGACTAGTTCTCCATAAGTAACCTGGAATAAATGGATTTCTTGGTTTATGGTAGCAGATATGGGAAATGGTCTTCAATGTAATGGATTTTGTAAAGTGTGTTGAACTCTTTCTGTGGCACATGAAGAGGAAGACGCAGAAAGACAGAAGCATCTGATAGATGCAGAAAGTCTTCTGATGCAGATGTCAGACAGTTTTTGAAGTAGAAGAACATTCATAGTTATTTCAAAAACTCCTTTTTTCACCTTCATCCTCTCTACATTGTAGTTTTTTAAAAAGTAACTTCTTTATGAGAGAAGTAAATGTTAAGATAAAAAAGTAAGTGAATATAGCTAATGAATATAGCTCATATTTCAATTTGCCATTACCAAGTAATTTCACAAAGCATTTTATTTCCCAGTCCAGGCTCTGATCTAAGATCAAGCACTGCACATAGTTTCTTGTGTCTAATCTTCAGTGTTTTTAGTCTGGGACATTTCTACCACGTGCTTTTGTCTTTCAGGACATTGACATTTGGGGAACATTAAGGTCAGTGATTTTGCAGAATGTCTCTTGATTTGAATTTGTTTGCTGTTTCCTCATCTTTTTTTTTTTTTTTTTTTGCATTTTGGGCAGGATTACTTCAGAACTGATGTGTTTCTCAGTGCATCACATCAGGAGGTACAAGGTATCAGCTTGTTCCATTATGGGTGATGTTAACTTTGATCACTTGGTTAAGATGGTGTCTGCAGGGCTCCTACACCCTAATAATGTTAATATTTCTTTCTTTAGAGTTAATAAGTAATTTGTGGGGAGATACTTTGGGACTATATACATTTGCTGTGCTTTTTAAAGGCTCTGCCTCATTGGTTTTCACATCCCTTGACAATTCTTCCCTGAACAAATCATTACAGGGTTAGTTTCAACGTAGGTGGTTTTTCCTGCTCTATCATTTCCTATACACTTGTTAATAGACATTTAACATAAGAAGGAAGCTTGCCCATCTTCCTTACTTAAGTTCATGCTCATAAATTCTTATTTTATTCAATGGGTTACAATCCATTACTGTTACCATCAAGTTGTCTAAGATTTGACCAGAGGTAACCCCTATTTCCTATGTCCTTTTTTTTTTTTAATTGAGCTATAACTCACATTAAAACTTACCCGTTTAAAGTATACAATTTAGTGGATTTTAGTATATTTCCAGAATTGTACAATCATTACCACTAAATACAGAACATTTTCATTTCTCTAAAAAGAATCCCCCACCCATTAATAATCACTCTGTCAGGTCAGTTTATCTCTCTTCCTCAGTTCTTGCCTGTCACAATAAAAATTTGGAACAATGAACTAAAGGGTTTAAAACAACAGACAAGTTAAGAGCTCAGTTCAGCTCAAGCAGACAGATCTTTTATAAGACAGACACTCAAAAGACTTGGGAGCAGACCGACCCCAAAGGAGTTGCCCTCCCCTTCCCTCTTGGCTTCCCCCTTTTTATACTTCCTGTCGCCTCCTATTGGTTATGCCCTGTGCAGAATAGGGCTTGTACCCACCAATAATCAATGAAAGGGAATGCAAATGGGTGTATGCTCAAGGCCGATTGACAACTGCAAGTTCTATAACAGCAGGCCCTGTTGTTTATGTCTTCCCATAATTCAGTCTGTCATAATCATATATACATGTTATAATATATATATAGGGGCTTCTCTGATAGCTCAGTTGGTAAAGAATCCACCTGCAATGCAGGAGACCTCAGTTCAGTTCCTGGGTCAGGAAGATCCACTGGAGAAGAGATAGGCTACCCACTCCAGTATTCTTGGGCTTCCTGTGGCTTAGCTGGTAAAGAATCTGCCTGCAGTGAGGGAGACCTGGGTTCGATCCCTGGGTTGGGAACAGCCTTCAAGGCTGATTGACAATTGCAAGTTATATAAAAGCAGGTTCTGTTGTTTATGTCTTCCCATAATTCACTCTGATGGTAATCATATATACACACATACATATATACATGTTATAATCATATATGCATATAATCATATATGTATATAATCATATATATATAGACAGACTATTTATGAACCCTTAATAGGCTCCTAGCTACCTGAGGTTACTTGGAGAAGCCCCTGTGGTTAGTTTATATCCACTGTGTGTCTGGGATGCATGTGCAGGAGTTGGAAACATCTCTGGCTATTTTTGTAGCAAATCTGTGAGCTCTTCTGGGTGTATCTGGGATGAAGTTTAGAGATCAGCTTGCATCCCTTTCAGCCAGGCCTCCCCTGGTTGCTCATGTCTAACTTCCTACCTTATTAACTCCATTTCTGCTTCTCCTCCAGCCCCTGGCAACCACTAACCTACTTTCTGTGGACTGTTCTGGATACTTCATATAAATGGAATCATGTAATATGTGACCTTTTATATTCTTTCACGTGTGTTTTCAGGGTCCATCTCTATTGTACCATGAATCATTACTTCATTCTTTTTTATTTGCTGGGTCATATGGTAACTCTCTGTTCAACTTTTTGAAGAGCTGGCATACTGTTTTTCAAAGTAACTGCAACTTTTTGTATTCTTATCAACAATATATGAGAGTTCCAATTTTCCCACATCCTCACCAACACTTGTTTTTACCTGGTGTTTTTTTTTTTTTTTTGGTTATAGCCATCCTAGTAGGAGTAGGCCCAGCCACCACCTTCTGTTTGTATTTGTCAGGACTCATTCAGTTAAATGTGACAGAAACCTAGCTCAGACTAGCTTAAACAAACACAAAGTGGGGAGTTGGGCTGCTGGATATGTAGTCTCAAGTAACTGAAAGGTCCCGCCCAGTGGGATCTGGGTGCTCATGTGATGCCTTCAATCTACACTGACTTCATTTCCAGAGCAGTGCTCTCTGGAGGTGGCCGTGGTGCTCCAGCAACTCCAGGAGTTTCACATTTTGTTTGCTTAGCAAGCTGGCAGAATGCATTTCTCTTCCAGGGCTTCTGGTCTCGGAGCTGAGACACTCCCTGGTCCTCATGGGTCATGTTATCTTCCCTGGGTCATATCTTCCTCCCTGAACCCAGAGGCTACCATCTAAAGAAGGGGCAGAGATGCTGGCTGGAAGAAGGGACCTGTCTGTTCTTCTCTATTCCAAGCCCCACACGCTTCTGGTAGTTCATGTGGTTCACCCAGCCATGGGGGTGGAAAGCACTGTATTGTGAGACAGAAATGTCCTTGTGCTTCCCTGATGGACCCTGGCCTGCCTGCTGTCCTCTGGGTTAGAGGCATTAATGCGGGGATAATACTTTACGATTCAAAGCCTTCCCACACAGTGTCTCCCTTGAGATGTTAAGGAACCTTCCGGTGTGGTGGTGAGGAGCCAGGGCTTCAGATCTGGCACTGCTGTGAGCTCTGGCAAGTTACTGCCTCAGCTTCTTCAGCTGGAGTATAGGCTACTAACAGTGCCACTGCACAGAATGGTAGTGAGGATTAAATGAGCTAAAACCAAGTACTGACTCACAGTAAGTGCCAGAATGTCTTCATTTCACAGCAGCCTCCACGGCCAGTGCTATCACCTCTGTTTTATAGATGATGAAATGAGGACTCCAGGCAATGAATCGGCTTGTCCCACTTGGCTAATTCCAAGTCATACAGTTAAAAAGTGGCGGGACCCGGAATAGAAGCTGAGTCTTTCACTCTGGGGTTTAGGGCTGCTTCCCAGGCCTCCATGCTGGCATTTAGAATAGGGAAGCTGAGACAAGGTCTGCTCCTCTGTGTCCGAGTCCTGACGCATTACCATTGTTTCTCTGCAGCCGTCCAGGGAACCCCTCTGTCAGCCACCCTCTCCCTGGTTATGTCACAATGCTGCCGGAAGATAAAAGACACCGTGCAGAAACTGGCTTCGGACCACAAGGACATTCACAGCAGTGTTTCCCGAGTGGGCAAAGCCATTGACAGGGTGAGCATGTGGGCAGCTCCAGACTGGGGGTGGGAATACCTATGGCAGCGCGTATGTAGCAGAGCTCCTCGGGAAGCCCGTGTGAAAAGTGCAGGCCTGAGTCACAGGGCCCTGTCTCTCCTCCTTTGCAGAACTTTGACTCTGAGATTTGCGGTGTAGTCTCCGACGCAGTGTGGGACTCGCGGGAAAAGCAGCAGCAGACCCTGCAGATGGCCATCCTGGAGCACTTGTATCAGCAGGGCATGCTCAGCGTCGCTGAGGAGCTGTGCCAGGTAACGGGCTCACCGGGGAGGTGCTGGGGCCCACCTGTTCTGCTTTCTGCTTGGTAGCTTTCTTTATATTAGGACCCCATTATTTTTTTTTATATCCAGACAGGTCAGTTTATTTACATGATTCAAACGTGTGTGTCATCACTTTCTGATTGTCTGATGGGAACGCCTGTTCCCAGAGACCCGTTTCCCGTGGACAGTTGGCCTGGCAGGGCATCCTCCCCTCTGGACTGCACATGGGAAGTCCAAGGTGTCCTTCAAGACTGTGTGCCTTTACCTTGTTTCCACTGATGCAGTCTTTTCTTTAAATGAGTTAATCTCTATTTTGAAAATTGCATTTAATTTATTAAAACGAAAAACAACAAAAATAGTTCATCCATTGCTCCCACACCCTACCCTCCACTTCTTCTAAGCACCAATCTGTTCTTTGTATTTATGAGCTTGGTTTTCTTAAAAACTTTTTAGATTCCACATATAAGTGAGATCATACAGTAGCTGTCTTTGTCTGGAACATTTCATTTAGCATAATGCTCCCATCCATATTATCACAAATGACAGGATTTCCCCACTTTTTTTTTTCTCCCCGCACTTTTCTTAATGGCTGAATGCATGCGTGCTCAGTCGCGTGTGTCTGACTCTTTGCACCCCCACGGACTGTAGCCCACCAGGCTTCTCTGTGCGTGGGATTTTCCAGGCAAGAATATTGGAGTGGGTTGCCATTTCTTACTCTAGGGAATTTTCTGACCCAGGGATTGAACCCAAGTGTCTTATGTCTCCTGCATTGGCAGGCAGGTTCTTTACCACCAGTGCCATCTGGGAAACAATATTTCATTATATATATACATATAAAGAGTCTGCCTGCAATGCAGGAGACCCGGGTTTGATGCCTGGGAAGGGAATGGCTACCCACTCCAGTATTCTCTTCTGGAGAATTCCATGGACAGAGGAGCCATGGACACAAGGACAGTGGGATACAGTTGATTGGGTTGCAGAGTCAGACATGATTGAGCAACTGTGTATTTATTTTATATATATATACATATATATACCACATTTTCTTTGTTCATCCATAAACGGATACTTAGGTTGTTTCCTTATCTTGGCTATTGTAAATAATGCTGCAGTGAATATGGGGGTGGGGTGCAGATATCTTCAAGTTAGTGCTTTCATTTTCTTTGGGAAAATACCCAGAAGTGGGATTGCTAGATCATATGGTAGCTATATTTTAATTTTCTGAGGAACTTCCATACTGTTATCCAGTGGCGGCACCAGTTTACATTCCCACCAAGGTGCATTAGGGTTCCCCTTTCTCCACATGCTTGCCAGCAGTTATTTCTTGTCTTTTTGATAACAGCCATTCTGACAGGAGTGAGGTGATGGCTCATTGTGGTGTTGATTTGCATTGCCCTGATGATTAATGAGGTAGAGCATCTTTTCATGTGCCTGTTGGCCATTTTGATGTCTTCTTTGAAAAAATGTCTCTTCAGATATTCTCTCCATTTTTTATAAGAATTTTTTTTTTTTTGCTATTGAGTTTTTATATATTTTGGATATTAGTCCCTTAGATGACACAATCTACAGATATTTTTTCCTATTCTGTAGGTTGCCTTTTCATTTTGTTGATGGTTTCCTTTACTGTTTCAGAAGCTTTAAATTTAGTTTGATGTAGTCCTACTTGTTTGTTTTGCTTTTGTTATTTCTTAAAATAAATTTATTTTAGAAATCAGTGCCCCTCCATCAATGGAAAGTAGCTACAAAATATATACAATAAAAAGTGAAATTAATTTTTAGCTAGATTTGGTTGTCCACCAGAGTTCTCAGTGCCTGATAATATTAAAAGGGAAGACTAGTAAAATGACAAAGTTGCACTTGTTAGGTGTTAAATGACACCCTGGCAGTGAAAGTAAAGGATGCTTTCCCTTAATGTAATTAGGGGGATTGAAAAAGAGTGATTTTCTCTCCATGCTACTCAGCATGTAGCACTCAGCCTCCCAGAACTTGAACTGGAAAAAAGAGGAGTCCAAGGGATTGGCAGGAGACCATGGCCCCTCTCTAGCTTGTCTTTGGTGGATGAGGCTGTACTAGGTGTGGAGCAGAGAAGTTTGGAAACACAGTCCTCCAGTGGTAGATGGCTCTCTCTCCCTCTAGGAATCAACACTGAATGTGGACTTGGATTTCAAGCAGCCTTTCCTGGAGTTGAATCGTATCCTGGAAGCTCTGCATGAACAAGACCTGGGGCCAGCATTGGAGTACGTTGGCCTTTGGGTGGTCCCACAGGGGACAGGGCTTGTCTATGCTCTTCACGTCACCCAGCATACTTGACACACCTCCAGCCCTGTCTCACGGGCCTCACATAAGATTTTGGAGGCCCTGCCAGGCCCCCGTTCTCTTGCCTTACTAGCTCCCACTCAGCTGGCCCCTTTCTTCCCAGATGGGCTGTCTCCCACAGGCAGCGCCTGCTGGAGCTCAATAGCTCCCTGGAGTTCAAGCTGCACCGACTGCAGTTCATCCGTCTCCTGGCAGATGGCCCTGAGAAGCAGCTGGAGGCCCTCAGCTACGCCCGGCACTTCCAGCCCTTTGCTCACGTGCACCAGCGGGGTATGTGCCCGGGTGCTGGGGTGGCCCCCTACAACATGCATGCCCTTAGCTGCTCTGCCTCACATGCTATATGGCATGCCCCGCCCCCCCCCCCCAAAAAAAAAAAGATTAGCTAGTACTGGAACAGAGGGACAGGAGCCTGAGACCCACTCCTTGATGCAGCTGGAAGGGCGGGGAAGAAACTGAAACCCCTCCCTACTTCATGTTGTGGGGTCATGCTTGCCACAGAAACAGCCCTGAAACCTTACTTCCTCACTGGATTTTTAGGGAAAACTGGCTTTGCCAGAGGGCATTTTATCCCTCGATTGGCCAGGTCATGGGCCTGGGAGCCATGGGGCACAGCCTGCTCCCCATACTGTCTCTGCAGCCCTGCCACCCGAGAACTGGAGGCAGAGCTGGGAGAAAGGCTGCCTCTGGCACCCTGATTCCCCTTTGCCTTGTAGAGATCCAGGTGATGATGGGCAGTCTAGTGTACCTGCAGCTGGGTTTGGAGAAGTCACCCTACTGCCATCTCCTGGACAACAGCCATTGGGCCGAGATCTGTGAGACCTTTACACGTGATGCTTGTTCCCTGTTGGGCCTTTCTGTGGAGTCACCCCTCAGTGTCAGGTATAGTCAGCCCTGTGGGGGCAGTCCAGGTGGGAGGGCTGAGGGAAACCCAACTTGTCAAGGCCCTGCCCTGTCCAGGGATGGTGTTCGGTGCCTTCACAGACCTAAACTGGCTGCTCAGTCACTCTTCTAGATAGGAATTTCTTTCTAGCACCCCTCCCAGGTGGTGCTAGTGGTAAAAAACCTGCCTGCTATGCAGGAGACATAAGGGACGTGGGTTCAATCCCTGGGCAGGCAAGATCTCTTGGAGGAGGAAATGGCAACCCACTCCAGTATTCTTGCCTAGAGATTCTCATGGACAAAGGAGCCTGGTGGGTTACAGCCTATGGGGTCACAAAGAGTCGGACATGGCTGAGGTTACGCAGCACACACTACAGTTGGAGAACAGATTGAGTTGTGGCCTGGGGTCACCACAAGGTCAGTGGCAGAGTCAAGGTTCCCATTTTGTAAGGTCTCTTGAATGAAGTCCGTGCCTCCTGCACCTCACCTCTGGGTAATCACAGGACCCTCTAACAGCCCAGCCTTCTGGCCACCTCAGGTCTCAAACACCACTTCCCTCAGGGAGACTGAGTGGCTGAGTCACAGGTGCTGAGAGCTTTCACTTGGAAGGCTTCTTTACAGTAATATTCTCCTCATGGCTTCAAACCAACCGAAGAGTTACAGGTACTGTAACCCTCATTTTCCAGGAAGAAACAGAGGCTCCTAGGGCCTCACAGGGAATGAAGGTCACCTGGACCTGACCCCACCACATATTGCACCACAGTGGTGTATTTTCTTTAGGCTGGCTGTGGAATCGCATGGGGCACATTTGCCTGCCTGGTCATGAGAGGCTCCATCCTCCAGTTTGTTCCCATGGACTCTGGTTACAGAACAGTCTTCCCCAGCACGAACACAGGCACCTTAGGAGGGTTCGGTTTGCACACCTGCTCTGTAGGGGTTTGGCACCCCAGGCTCCAGTCAGTTGGTTCCCCATCCCCGTCCCAATCCTAGTGAAAACTGAACCTACTGTTTCTCATCTCTAAGTGCCCTGGGTGATAACCCGTTACGGAGGTGCGCTGTGATGACAGAAGGGGACACAGGCAGGAGGCGGCCCTTCCAGACATGAGTGTCCCTGTCACACCAAGGACTTGTCACTGGATGAGCAGGGATCTGTCCCCTGGATATTCTTTTTGTCCAAATTTTGGGGTGCATTAGAATGACTTTCTAGAGTTAAGACACAGAACCACATATGTAGCTTTATGCGTGACCTGAGAGATTTTTAAGGACTGGTTTGATCAAGTGCCACTTTGAAACCCTGTCCTGAGTCACGTACTCACAGTGTGCTGGTCCTTTTGTCTGTCTGCTGGGCTTTTGGTCAGGCTGGTCACTCCAGCCTCTGCTCTCTGTTCTGCAGCTTTGCCTCTGGCTGTGTGGCGCTGCCTGTGCTGATGAATATCAAAGCTGTGATGGAGCAGAGGCAGTGCTCTGGGGTCTGGAGTCACAAGGACGAGTTACCGGTGAGGCCCAGCAGGGGGAGGTACAGCATGAAGCACTGGGGAGGACAGCCGCCACAGGAAGTGGGACTCACCCCACTGTTGGCCTCCCCAGATTGAGATTGAACTCGGCATGAAGTGCTGGTACCACTCAGTGTTCGCCTGCCCCATCCTCCGCCAGCAGACGTCGGATTCCAACCCTCCCATCAAGCTCATCTGTGGCCATGTCATCTCCCGAGATGCACTCAACAAGCTCATTAACGGAGGAAAGTAAGTTCCTGGGGTTCTGTTCCGCCTTAGGCTGATTCTTCTGCTGGCTGGCCACCTGAGACATTCTTGGTTTTTCTCCCTTTGTAGGCTGAAGTGTCCCTACTGTCCCATGGAGCAGAACCCAGCAGATGGGAAACGCATCATATTCTGATTCCTGCTGGGGAGGAACTTTGTTGCAAGAGGTTTTTCACCCACAAGCCTTGGTCTGTCTCAGTGGGGGTGGTTGGCTTCCATGAACTGTGGTTCATTTCAGAGCAGCTGGCTGAGGACTGCCACCACAAGCAGGGCTGGCCCTTTGGCAGAGGCCAAGGAGGGAGATGAGACAGCCTACAGCAGGCAACTGGCTTCTTGACTGTTAACGGCAGGGAAACTCTGGCGTCTTGTACTCCTGCTCTTTGTATTAGCTGTTGACTTAAGTGGCAACTGACAGAATAGCAAAGGACTTGGTGGGCACAGCAGATGTCTTCCATCCCTGCCCTCAAGCCAGGTCTCTTCCTGCTCCACCAAGGCTTGTGTCCCTTCCTCCCATTGTACAGCCTCACAGCTCTATGTCATTTCCCCACTGTAGTCCGGGATAGAACTGAATGCCGTTGTTTTATAACTGAGCAAATATATGCACAGGCCTTCTCCTTACTTTCCCTGCCTTCAGCTTCACTGGCAAAGAATTACCATGTGCCCCCCGTGCACAGGTTCTGGGCATGCCGGTTGGGAACATGGCAGCCACAGAATGCAGTTGGAAGGAACCCAACCGCATGTGATAGGGAGAAAATGCAAGGAGATGACAAACCCTGGGCAAGATGCTTTTACATACACATAATTGTATTACCTCCTTGTTAGAAACGAGCGTGAAGGGATGTAGAAAGATGAAATGACTTGCCCAGAAGGGCTCACAACTTATCAAGAAGAGAGCTTGGAGTTTAAACCAGTTCCAACCCTCAAGCCCAAGGTCCTTCCAGTTTATTACAGGGTGCCTGAAGCTTGGCTGCTGTGTGTACTGAGTCTGTGCTGGGCCTCTGAGAGCAGGAAGGCACTGTAAGTCTAAAATGTTTGAAGAGATGAGGTTACCAGGGCCATAATGGCAAAGTAGGATAAATGGCCTGGGATTCTGCATTTAGCTTTCATATACCTACTTAAAATTTACTGTGTGGGTGGGTAAATTGTGTCTGTTAGCTTCCCAGTGGCATTTAAGGCTCTTGGGGGAAAAAGAAAAGAGGAATGGGGGTGTCCCCACATAGGAACTACAGGCTCTATGAAGTGGGTGGGTTCTGGGCTCAGCTGGCTTGCCTGCAGCTCCCAGCTACTCTAGAAGTAGAGTGGAAAGCTGAGGGTGGTAGCAGGGTCCGTTCTCAGCTTGAGTCCAGCACTGACCCTGGTGGCCAAACATTCACACTGAGCATTATTGAAGTCCTAGGGTCATCTGGTGAGAAAGGTTACTTCTGCTCTTTCCTTCCCACCAACAACTTGGCCCCACCAGTAGTTGCTACTTAAAAAAAAAAACACCCACAGACTCACCACATTTTAGTTTTAGGATTTACTTCCCCCCACATCACATTCTTGGAACTATCTTCACTGAAGTTCAACAGGAAACAGCGCTGACGGAGAAGATGCTGGCTCTGCCGTTGTGAAGTTACTGTTGGAGCTGCTTAGGAAGAATACGTGCCTCAGGGAACCACGGAGATGCCTGAATGTGGGCAGCAGGAGGGCAGCCAACTGGCCCGCCACCAAGCCAACTGTTTTTGGAGCAGGTGCCCAGGTTGTGCCTAAGTCCTTCACATGGGTGGGGGCAGGGCTTGCACCTCCTCCAGGCACTCGTCATAGGCCTCCTGGTATTCCTCGTGGGGCTTGACCATTATCACGCAGGTGGGGCGCTTAGAGCCAGCGGCTGCACCCAGGTCCTGCAGAGAAGGGACAAAGGCTGTTTGGAACAAACGCCACACAACCTGTGCACCAAGGAGTCATGAACTGATGATCCACCAGCCTAATCGAGCCCACAGACATGTGCTAGTCAGTCAGTGTTACATTTTGAATTGGCTGCCACCATTTAAACTCAGCAGACTTTCAAGCTGTAGTCCAGTGACACTGGGCCTACAGTTCCATATGGCAACTGTGAAAGGGCTCCAGCTCAGTAGGGGCTGTCCCCTTAAGCAGGGCCTATGCTTTCCAGGGTCCTACTATTCCCCATCCCTTGGAGCCCAGACCTGGCCTCTGCTATGTAAGGGTAAGGACAGCTGCAGGTCCCTAGAACATCCCTTCTGAACACTGCACCCACCTAACAGGACTGACACATTCAAGTTCACCTTCTGTTTCATTCCCACAGTCCCATTTTACAAGAAAGTAGAAGTATAGAGAGGTGATTTATCTGCATTCCCTCATCTGGGGAGCAGCAGAGCCAAGAATCGATCCAGGCCTGTCTTTAGCTCCAAAGCTCATGCTGTTTGCCACTATGGCCTGCTGCCACCAACTTGATCCCAGACCCTCTTCGGTGCTGACCAAGATCAGGGGCTCAGGTGCTCCTTACCGTCTTAGAGGGGATATAGACATATGGCAAATTCCGATCTTCACACATAACTGGGAGATGGCAGTATACCTCAATGGGTAACGTGTCTCCTGCCAAAACCATAATCCTGAAATAAGAGAAACCAATGTCATTCCCAGCTTGCTGGTTCCCTTTTCAGTCATAAGGGAGGCCACTGAGCTGGGTCTTGGGGGCTACAGAGATGGGTAAACTGGCCCCTGCCCTCAAGGAGCCCCATCATGTATGTCTCCCAAACTCAAGAAATGCATTAAGATTTGTTTGGTGAGTGCATTCCTCTGGGGAGGTGATCTCTGTTGCCTGGCAACAAGTAAATGCCACCAAGTGTGACAAAAGGTACTGTACCGGGACAGATGAAGTATGAGAGATGCCAAGGAGTAAGAGCTCAGCTCTCCTTGGACAATCAAGAAAGGAATCAGGAAGCAACACCTGAGAGGAATGCTGAATGATGAACATCTGTCAGGTGCCCATGGAGGGGCTTTGATGCTGTCAGTCACTAAATCATGTCCTACTCTTTGTGATCCCATGGATCACAGCCTGGTAGCCCGCCAGGCTCCTCTGTCCATGGGGTTTTTCCAGGCAAGAATACTGGAGTGGGTTGCCATTTCCTTCTCCAGGGGATCTTCCCAGATCAGGCAGATTCTTTACCACTGAACTACCAAGGAAGCCCATAGAGGGGCTGGGGGCAGGGAAAGCATTTAAGGTTGACAGAATCAGAAAGATACCAGATACACAGGGGATGGCTGTTGTTGGGAGCCAGGGATGGCTTTGGAGTCCAGGTTGGGGAGATGAGGCTGACAAGAAGGCTAGAAAAATTAAGAGTCTTGAGTGCTTCAAGGCTCATTCCTAAGAGTGATAGGGAACCAAGGAAAGCTTGCCAGAAAATCTATAACTGTTCTAGCTGGCAAGGTGATGGGGTTCTGCGACAAGGGCCTCAGGAGCCCTGATGACAGAAGGAAGAGTCTGTTCTAGGGGAGAGGAAAACACAAGGAAAGAGCTCTTGGGTTCAAAGCACTACATCCACACTCCCTAGTTTTCCTTTGGCTCATAGACTCTCCTCTTCTGCAGGCTCCGCTTCCTCTGAGTAGCCTTTATTGTGTTTGGCCGTGCTGTGCAGCTTGTGGGATGTTAGTTCCCCAACCAAGGATGGAACCCTGGCCCGCTTGCAGTGGAAGCATGGAGCCCTAACCGCTGGACTGCCAGGAAATTCCTGAGAAGCCTTTCAATGCTGGTATTCCCACAGCCTGGTCTTTCTGCTCTGTCAGTACGTTCTCTCAGCCGACCCCATCTGTAACCAAGACTTCAAGTGCCGACTCTATACTGATAACTCCCAAATCTATTCTTTCCAACCCAACCCTCTCCCAAACTGAACACCCATATAGCTACCTGCCTATTTGACAGTTCTGCTAGGGAGAGGGATCCCATGTTTAAAAGGCACCTTGAAAACTTGTCTAAAACCAGACTCGTGATCTCATACAAACCTGGCTCCCTCACTGTTCACTGTCTCAGTGAACAGGCTCTCTGTTCATCTGCCTGGAGCCCACACCACCTCACTCTGTATGCAAAAGTCCTCTCATCCATCCACTTTACTTCTCTCCATCTCTGCCATCAATAACCCAATCAAAATTGTTCTCCTCTCTTCTGCACCAGAGTAGCCACCGATCTCAATTTCTCCATCTATTCTTCCACCTCTCATCTTTTCCAAAGTTGCCAGAAAAACCTTCTAAAGGTGTAAACATGATTATGTCACCCCTCACTTTAACACTCATTGGCTTCCAAAATTCCTGAGTACAAAAAAACTTACAATGACTTACAGAGTCCCATGAGAAGGGAGCACTTCTATCCACTACTACCCTCTCCTGGCCTGGAATCTACTTTCTTCTGGCAGAATGCCCCCCAAACCTGGAAGCCACAAACTAATCCTATATCTTCAGACCTCAGCTACCCCACCGAGGTCAGACTCCATAGAGCACCAAATCCTCCCAGCATTATTTAGCTCTTGAGCACCTACAATGTACCAGGCACTTTTGAAAATAAAGCAGTGAGAGGCTTTATTCTGTTCTCAAAGAGCTTACTTTCTGGCCTGAGTGAAAGAGACAGGGAATAAAAACGCAAATAATTTTCAGATTCTGAAAAATGCCAAAAAAAGGAAAGCGGTAAGATAATGAAGTCATTCTCACTGCACCCTGTACTGTTCCTTCACGCTTACCCATGCCAACTTGTAATTTTGTGTGTATTTGATTACTGCCATTGTCTCCCCATAGCACAGTGCCTGCAAAACAGTAGACACTCGGTAAATAGTCGCTAAGTGAATGAAGCTGGGATCAACCCTAAGTAAGTTGGCTTATACGATTTGGTTCCCCTGGAATTCACCTTCCCCAAGGTGTCCCTTTGAGCTCTTGTAAGCGGTATCGACATCTGTACGGAAGGGAATGTACCTTCTGCATACGACCCAAGTCGGAGCACTTTTACCAACTACCTGTTAAGTAGCAGGATACCATCCCCGAAATCCGGCGGGGGGTAGGGGGATTCTTACCCTTTCTCGCCTTTGTTGATAAATTTCTGAACCTCCTTCACCCCACGCCGAATCTGCTTCTGCTTCACGGCTGCAACGACAGAACAATCAGTCAGGGGGGCCCTCGGCCTGCCACCCGCGTCCCGCCCCGGCCCGGCCCGGCGTCCACGGCACCTTTCTTGATGCATTTGTAGAGCTTCCGCGTGAGGCGGCGAGAAGCCAGAGGCTGCGCGATGGGGTTCAGATTCACTAGCAGTTCATGGTAAGTGCGCTCCGCGCAGCACGCGTCCGCCTGAGCCTCCGGCCCGTCCGGATCTGCCTTTATTTTGGTCATGGCAGCGACTGTGGCAATCCAGCACTCAAGGCACAAATCCACGCGGCCGGCACTTCAGAAATCACTTCCGGGTCATGCTGCTCTGCGGGAAGAGGCTGTACGACAGAACCAATTAGGAACCCATGTCTCCTTGAAGCTCAGGTCTTCAAACACGGAGCGCCGAGGGGTGGAGTCTTGGACGTAGGGGCGGGGCCACTCCCACAACGCAGGCGGGGCGGAAGCGGTTTAGGGCCGGAGTTGGAAGGCAAGCTGTGAATTTGGGCAAACTCGGGGAGATAGTGAAGGATAGACGAGCCTAGCGTGCTACAGTCCATTGAGTCGCAAAGAATCGCACACAACTTCACGACTGAACAACAACAACGGAGGGCCTATGAGGCGAGGGGCGAAGGCCGGAGGGAGGCGGACCCTAGAGGAGGCGAAGAGGGACTAGGACCCCGGCTTGGGTTTGTGTGAGGGTTCAGTGTCACAGGTGTAGGCGATGCGAGGAGGAAGCTGTACCTGTAGGGGCGTGGCCGCATCTAAGTGGACCAGAGCCTTGCCTAAAGGGCGGGCTCTGCGACCAGGGTTGTGGAATGGGAAGTCTTAAGTGTGATTCCAAACCTCCTTAGAATCTGATCCCTCACTTGGGCAGTTCCAATCTGCCCAGTCCCATCTGGTCCCAGGTCCTGAGTTGCTTCTGGGTGGTGTAGCCTAGGTGCCAAGGTTAAGGTAAAGCCTGGCACTACTTGCGATTTCTTCGTTCTATCACGGTTCTCACACTCTGCTTTCTCTTTTCTGGAGAGGGATGGAACCATTCACTCACTAAGCGCTTCGGTCTAGATCGCTTTTCTTCGGAGAACTCGGTACCACCGTTCCCGCAGAAATCTGCTCAGCTGTCAATCACGGGAGAGATTCTCCTGACCAACGTACATAAAATTAAAGGTCTCTGCCGACCTTCCGCCGGCATCCTCTAACCCTCTTGTTGTTTTCGTAGTTCCCGCCGCCGCCTGGCATCACACCCACAGAAGGCGTGACGGAGACCGCGGGTGGGAGCTGAGAGGGGAGACAGTGTGAACAGGGGCTGAGACTCGAGGGTGGGGAAGTGCGCTGAGTAGGCGGCGCGTTTGCAGTTAACTCTAGAGGATTAATTGGGTTACCCTGGTGGCTCAGATGGTGAAGAATCTGCAGGCGATGAGAGAGACCCGGGTTCGATCCCTGAGTTGGGAAGATACCGTGAAGAAGGAAATAGCAACCCACTCTACTCCAATATTCTTGCCTGGTGAATCCCACGGACAGAGGAGCCTGGAAGGCTACAGTCAATGGAGATAGCAAAGAGGCGGACACAACTGAGCGACTAACACACACATACAATGCTGGGGAGGTGAGCAGGCCTAGACTGGGGTGGATCTTGTACCTCTGACTTATTTCTTGCACTCTGTCTTGGAACGTTGGATGAATATTTGTTGTTATGTAGTTGCTAAGTCGTGTCTGACTCTTTTGTGACCCCATGGATGTAGCCCACCAGCCTGCTGTGTCCATGGGATTTCCCAGGCAAGAGTACTGGAGTGAATTGCCTTTTCCTTCTCTAGGGAATCTTCCCAACCCAGGGATCAAACAGGCGTCTCCTGTATTAGCAGGCAGATTCTTTACCACTGAGCCACCAGGGAAGCAAATCATTGCTATAAATCAATTGCCTTTGATTATGTGGTGGTAGGTGGGCCATTTTTGTGGTAGTAGAACAGGCCATAAAGTGGAACTTTAAAAGTCTGCAGGTGGCCTTGCAGCAGGGGACAGTTAAGCCAACTGAAAACCTGAACTTTTAACCCTGTAACCAAGTGCAGCCATTACATAAAAAACAAGTACTCTTGTTTTCAGACTTTAAACTTTTTATTTTGTATTGGGATATAGCTGGTTAAAAATGTTGTGGTAGTTTCTGTTGAAGAGAGAAGGAACTCAGTCATACATATACATGAATCCATTCTCCCCTAAACCCCCCCTCCCATCCAGGCTGTCACATAACATTGAACAGAGTTCCTTGTGCTATACAATAGGTCCTTGTTGGTTGTCCATTTTAAATATAGCAATGTGTACCTGACCTTCCCCAAATCCCTAACTATCCCTTCCCTCTGGCAACCATAAGTCGTTTTCTGAGTTTATTAGTGTCTTTCTGTTTTGTAAGTTTATTTGTATAATTTCTTTTTTGAATCCACATATAAGGGATGTCATATAATATTTCTCCTTCTCTGTCTGACTTACTTCACTCAGTATTACACTCTTTTGGTCCATCCATGTTGCTACAAATGGCATTACTTCATTCTTTTTAATGGCTGAGTAATATTCCATCATATATATTATCATATCTTCTTTATCCATTCCTCTGTTGATGGACATTTAGGTTGCTTCCATGTCTTGGCTATTGCAAACAGTGCTGTAATGAACACTGGAGTGCATGTGTCCTTCCAAATCATGTTTTTTTTTCCAGATATATGCCCACAAGTGGGATTGCAGTGTCATAGGATAGCTCTATTTTTAGTTTTTTAAGGAACCTCCCTACTGTTCTCCATCGTGGCTATACCAATTTACATTCCCACCAACAGTGTAGGAGGGTTCCCTTCTCTCCACACCCTTTCCAGCATTTGTTGTTTGTAGGTTTTTTGATGATAGCCATTCTGACCAGTATGAGGTGATGTCTCATTGTAGTTTTGATTTGCATTTCTCTAATAACTAGCAATGTTGAACATCTTTTCATATACCTATTATTGGCCATCTGTATGTCCTCTTTGGAGAAATGCCTATTCACGTCCTCTGGGCATTTTTTGAATGGGTTGTTTGTTTATGCTGTTAAGTGTCATAAGCTATTTGTAAATTTTGGAAACTAAGCCCTTATCAGTAATATCATTTGCAAATATTTTCTCCCAATCTGAATTGTCTTTTCATTTTGTTTATTGTTTCCTTTGCTGTGCAAAAACTTTTGAGTTTAAGTAGGTTCCATTTGTTTATTTTTATTTTTATTTCCATTATTCAGAGAGATGAGTCAAAAAAGATGTTGCTGTGATTTTTTGTTGTTGTTGTTGCTGTGATTTTTATGAGAGAGTGTTCTGCCTATGTTTTCCTCTATAAGTTTTATAGTGTCTGGTGTCACATTTAGGTCTTTAATCCATTTGAGTTTATTTTTGTGAGTAGAGTTAAGGAATGATCTCATTTCATTTTTTTCTACAGGTGGCTGTCCAGTTTTCCCAGCACCTTTTGTTGAAGAGGCTGTCTTTCCAACATTTTGTAGTCTTGACTCCTTTATCATAGATTAATTGACCATAGGTGCTTGTGCTTATTTCTGGGTTTTCTATACTGTTCCATTGATGTATGTTTCTATTTTTGTGCCAGTACTATACTGTTTTTATGACTGTAGCTTTGTAGTATAGTCTGAAGTCAGATAGCCTGATTCCTCCAGCTCTGTTTTTCTTTTTAAAGATTGCTTTGGCTATTTGGAGTCTTGGGTCTCCATACATTTTAAATATTGAGATTTTTAATTCCAATTCTGCAAAAAATGCCATTGGTAATTTGATAGGTGTTGCATTGAATCTGTAGATTGCCTATCTTTCTGAAACTATTCCAAAAAGTTACAGAGGAAGGAAGCATCTAAACTCATTTTATGAGGCCACCATCACTCTAATACCAAAACCAGACAAAGATATCACACACACAAAAAAGAAAATTACAGGCTAATATCACTGATGAATATAGATGCAAATAGTCCTCAGCAAAACACTAGCAATCCATATCCAACAATACATTAAAAAAATCATACAAAGTGTCAGCTTTTTGAGTCATAAGACAATGAAATGCCAAGAATAAGTCTGTCATTAGTAAACCTCTCTGATGATCAAGAGGGATTCATCCCAGGGATGCAAGGACTTTTCAACATCTGCAAATCAATGTGATACACCACATCAACATATTGAAGAATATAAACCATATGATCATCTAAATAGATGCAGAAAAACCTTTTGACAAAATTCAAAATTCAGCACCTATTTATGATTAAAAAAAAAAAAGAACTCTCCAGAAAGTGGGCATAGAGGGTACATATCTCAACATAATAAAGGCCATATATGACAAACCTACAGCTGGCATCACACGGTGAAAAGTTGAAAGCATTCCCTCTCAGATCAGGGATAAGACAAGGATGTCCATTCTCACCACTTTATTCAACATAGTTTTGAAAGTCCTAGGTACAGCAATCAGAGAAAAAGAAATAAAGGGAATCCAAATTGGAAAAGAAGAAATTAAACTGTCACTGTTTTCAGATGACATGATACTATACATAGAAGATCCTAAAGATACTACCAGAAAAATACTAGGACTCGGCAATGAATTTGGCAAAGTCACAGGTTACAAAATTAATACATGGAAATCTGTTGCATTTCTATACACTTAACAATAAAAGATCAGAAAGAGAAATTCAAGAAGCAACTCCATTTACCATCATATAAACAAAGAACCTAGGAATGAGCCTACCTAAGGAGACAAAAGACCTGTACTCTGAACACTACAAGCTGCTGAAGAAAGAAATCAAGACATAAACAGATGGAAAGGCATACCATGTTTGTGGATTGAAAGAATATTAAAAAAAAGTCTATACTACCCCAAAACAAGTAGTTTTTTGAAACTTAGTATTTTAATAGGAAAAGTCGGATGTAATCCATTCCAACCTTAGACCCCAAATAATTTCACAAATAGAAAAATATATCAATTGAGCAATTGCCGGGGTCCAACCTCGGCAGGATCCAGGGGGTACCCTCAGGATGAACGGCGTCGGCGAGAGAGAAGACACGTGAGACCAGCCTTGATAGGGCCAAATCTGTGTTTTACTTTTTGACAACCGGTTTTATACCCTTTCACAGAACGTTTTCAAGGTACAAGATGCTTACTCATGATTACACAGGATTAGCATTATATCATTTTGATTTTTAGGAAGAGCAGGATTTTTTTGCTTTCTAATTCTGTAGTAATTTTTAGCACAT